TTAGCGGCTAGCCGATGTGCGTAGTCCAACTCGATGCCATCGTAATATGTTGGTTTGATGCGTTGTGCCAGTTTGTGTAGTTCGTGAATACTGCCGGGATTCTTTCTGTACGTAGTGCCGGGGTATAGTTGAAAGCATGCTGGAAACTGCTGTGTACATTTCTGTGGGCACCAATCGCACGTCATGAATTAAGTGGTAAATCGGTTCAGGAAATATACGTTTAATATCGCTTTTTATTTGCAAAAAATATTGTAGATCAATAAAAAATATAATGAACACTATTCGTGGCGAGGCCTTTTAGCGGTTTCGCCGTATTTTGGCGGCTTTCTAAAAAGAATACTCAAAATTGGAAAAATAATTTTCAAAAATTGTGATTATTTTGTTTTTGAATAACGACAATATGTTTTGAAAACGTCAATGTGAAGTGTTGGAAAATTTTTAACAGTATGGTGAATTAAACTCGCATAGTTATTTCAAAGCACTTGACGTTCAGTAATTATTGTTACCAAGATACCGGTGGGCCCATAGGTCGAGGCGAACTTAAAGCCCACCCCACTTAGCCTTACTGAGGTGCGCGCAGCGGCAGCTCTGCCAGCTATATCTATAGGCGATTCGAGTTGAAGAGGGGGCCACTTATTCCAATTAAGGCGGCTCTTTGTACCCTTTCTAGCAGCTTGACAATGAAGGCCGTGTCTAGTGCGTTCCACCAGACGAGTAGCCCATATAATAAGATTGGCTTATTATAGTTTCATAAAGCCAAAGAACTACTTTCGTCGAAATACCCCAGCGCTTAACAATGGCCCCTCTACAACAAGAAATTAAAGGCCTGCAGTACTTCTAAGAAAGCTTACTCTCAAGGTTCAAACCATGGTACTTCACCCTGCCAGAGAGAATTAAAAGGAAGACGGAAAGTCGGTATCAATCGATGAAGTCTCTGAGTGATACATTAGAGTCTTTACTCGCCTTAGGAATGAACACAATTCTGACCACCCTCCAATGCTCCGGAACATGACGCCTAGGTAGGCAGCTCGCAAAGACAGGAATCAACCGGTGCCATGATACCGGGCCCGTGGTCTTAAGGGGCTTGAAAGAGCTAATGGTTCAAAGAAGGTAAACCTCCATAAAAATTTCCGGGGCTATTAGAGAAAACTTTTCTTGATGTTTATGGGAAACTGGGCTCGAACCTAGGACCTGCGGAATGGTAGTGCGTACTTCTAACCACTAGATGACCGCGACGCCTTTACTATCCCATTGGGTATATAAAATACCTGCTAGAAGGATGCATTTAGTACCATAGTTTGCCAGGGAAGCTGAGAAAAAAAGGAGACTCAGGTTTGGCTTGAGCAGAACACATCCTAATCTATTCAATTTAACACCGTTATGTTTAAGAACCTGCAGACAATGTGCGCCATTCTACAGCCTTAGATTTGGGTGAGCGAAATCCCAAGCACGCTTTGAAAATTGGTGTTAACCTTAACTACACCTTTCTGCCAATTGAGATTCTCTTTTCAAAAATCGTCTGGTTAGAAGACACCACAGATTAGTGCAGAATTTACAAAATTTTGATTAGTTAGCCAGTACTGTAAGATCCTCCCCTCTCCGGTTCTCTTACCTATCTTGTGGTCTTGATTCACATCGAAGCTTACGGGGATGACGGTCATCAGGAAAACCACTTAGGAAGGTACCTAAATAAGATTGATGGCTTGTGCATTTTATCTTAACCTTCGAATGCTTACATGCGCAAAGCTAAGCCTTTCCGTAAAATATCCAGTTGCGAAGCTGAAGGTAAATCGAGCGCTGAAAGTTTTCGGACAGCTCAGCTACGTAAGAGCTCAGGCAGATGATATTCTCGCTATACATACATGGCTTTAGTCAGACCAATCGTCACGTACTCTGCTATGGTATGGTGGCACTGGTCAAAAGCACGGTTTCTATGTTAAACAGGCGACGAATTAGTGTGTGCATAGGCATTACGGGTGCCATGAGTACAACTGAGCACCTTTGGATTTAACGATCCAAAAGGAGGCAATGAAGACGATGTGCCGATTGTATTTTTTTGGATTGTGGCAGGATGACCGAAGTTCCGGGCAGCGAAAGTTGTTCGGAAGATTGTCACCGTATTATCCTTTGTTTTTGACACCTATATCGCCAACGCAACGGTCTTTCAATCAAAAATCTTTGCAATACTGAAGGTAACAGGCTGGATAATTGGCGAAAGGTGGCGCGGACATGATATCAGGGTCTGCAGTAACAGCCAAGCTGCTCTAAAGGCTTTGGAAATCACTCAAATATCTCAAAAAAAGTCGTGCAATTTAATTTCAGGTTGAACTCCGTTCGAATGAGCTGGAAATTGTGTGCATTTAGGGACACTACGGTGTTCAAGACAACAAACTGGCTGATGAATTGGCGTCCTATTGCACCGGAACCAAATGTTCGGCTAAGCATATCGGTAGCATCGGGTAATAAAGCTCATGCGAGCCCTGGGTGTAGTATTGACACCTGCAAAACAACCAAGTGTTTCTTGAAAAGGCCACAAAGAAGGAGTGATATACATACTAGCTCTGATTGGTTTGATTACGGGGCAAAATGCATATAGACGTCATACATATGGCCACTCTAGGCACCATCACTTCGTACTTCTTGTTTGGAAGATGCGGATGGCACAGAATATTTTCTTTGCCGCTGTCCGCCCTTCGCCAGACTTAGATGGCACAATTGGCGATCGCTGGGTTTGAGAATGGAAGGGCAACATTATCTTTCCCTCGAAAAGCTTCTACGTATCATAGAGGGGTCCGGTAAATTTGCAGATTTGCAGAGCAGCAATGAATCCCCACTACCCTATGTATAAGTATATATGTATGAACATATCCCTGTCCTCTTCAGACCACCGTATGTCTCCGCAAGATGTATAAAGAGGACCCCTAGGTTCGGCGTTTTTTTTTCAAAATTGCTTTGTAAAAGTTCTTAAGACATGCAGCGATTTTGTTTTTGTTTCCTTGTTAGTTGGTTTGGTGTAATGCACAATGTGCAAACTTTAAGATTTATAGTTTTGACGTCGAAGAATCGACAAATCACTAAAAATTTAATTGTTTTCTTGGCATACGCATGCATGCATTTGTTTTGGTCTTGTGCCTGACATGTGTATATATATATGTATATACAAATGTATAAATACTTATGTGTATGTATATGAACATTTATATATATACATATATATACCCAGCCGTAGTTCCGATATATGCGGCCAAATTCAAGTACATCATTAGCGAAATAGCAACAAAAATTTCGTTAACAAGTAATACCGTGTTCTTGAAGATCTTTTATATACATACCTATGATAAGTCCCTTACCCTGGCTGCCAAAGCTACTAACGCTTTCCTTATAAATATTAACCGCCCTTCGTGGACGAATTTTTGATAATAAGGGATTCGAATGTGGATGAATTCAAGTGTTTTAATCTAGATATGGCCACCGCTGAACAATCATACCGAATGTGTTCCAACGTCTTTAAGGCAGGAAGAGCATTTAATATACATGGCCACTGGCCAGGCCAAACTGGTGCATGTGACAGCGCAGTGAACAGCCTGATGTTCGATGCTGTTTATATACTATCTATCGGAGGAATAGCCTTACTAGAGTAATATTCCGTAAAGAGTTTAGTAAAGTTAAGTTTAAGTCAATTTGGGGGTAGGTTCAAGTCTCGAAAGAAGCCCAATTGAGTCTGCAAAATCGTTCCGGTTTCACAAGGACAGACAGACGATCACACAGTGACCTCTTACGCAACACAGTGTTGCCATATTATTTCTGCTAAGAGTTGAAGAGTGTCTAAATACTACTTGACGTGCCTGCTGATCATTCCGTTGGATAGGGCCTTGATGGGCGATTGGTTGTCTGAAAAATATAACTCGCTTTACAAACTCTTTTTAAGGCTTGAAACACTGTAGACAATCTGCTTGCTAATTGCATTTGAGGGAGCATACGCTAGTTTATCCTGAGTAACATCGGAACGGGTTTGGAAGAGTATATTTAAATATATCTTTTATGTAGGAACCTACAATTTTGCGCCGCCTCCGCATAGTAAATTTCTTTTTGGGAAAATTTTTTGATGACAGAAATACAATCGGAAGTTTTCCAATGCCCGCCGAGAGGCGACCGCTGCTACAAAAAACTCGTAGAGCACTTTGTAAATAAAATATATTCAGTAGAAGCTGCTCATAACCGCAGACCAAAGTAATAAAAATTCCTGCTGGGCTTACATGTGCATACATGCATATGTACTTAGTTGGAATACCGAAAAAAAAACATTTGGCTAGTAAATCAATAAACTTATGAATTTTTTTCCTTTACCGGAAAACACAGATCCGACATTTCGAAGGAAAGGAAAAATTGTATTGTGTTTCTAGTTGTTTGTTGTTGTTTTTAAGCATTCAACGGGTATATTTATTATTTTGTGCACTCAAATTGGCTACAAATTGTTCAAGCATAGCGTGGCTCTTAAGGCAAACAATTTACTATATAGACATCTGCAGTGTATTTTGAAAAAAAAAAAAAAAAACAACAACAACAAATGAGTAGTAAAAATGCCTTCATACCAGCTGTTGATAGTTGGCCGAGCTAAGTCGGCGGAAAATGAGAGTGATATACATATAGTAACTATTCTACATATGATTGTGTGTATGTATGTATGTTAATTTGCGTCTTTAACATTAGAAACACATAAACGACAATGAGAACACTGTGAAGCATATCCACTGTGAATATTTGGTAGGCTGCGCCTCTGCCTACTGGGAATAGGTTTTCTACCGAGTCTGGAGGCAGCCGCTAAAAGAGGGAACAAAAAAAGGTGTTCCAGTTAGCAAAGAAAACTTTTATGAATGTTTTTCAGCAACAAGACGCGCAGTGGCTGGTCAGCCTGCCCTAACCTAACATAACCTAACTAAATTAAATGACATTTCAATATTTTTAATAAATAACAATACATATTCCTTCTTTCTTTACAGATGCCGTAATATGTCTTATGGTAATTCTTGCACTAACCTCCATTCTTTGGAGTATCACCATACATATAATCTCTGGCGATTTTTATCATGGCATACTTGGTGCGAAATTAGCATTTCGAGAAAGAGATTTTCTACAAATGGATGAACATTCCAAAGAGATTTTCTACAATGATCTGGGTAAACTAATAAACGACACATACACGGATAAGGCTTTGCATAATGTATTAATTGCTGAAGACGATATTACGCCTACGCCAATGGATGTTAATGGTAAAGTTGCGTTGTACATAAATACATTTTAATCTTTGCTTTAATCTTTTTCCTCAATTCTCAGCCACAACAAAGCAGCCTAAAGTGCGCAAAACCTATCACATTTTCCAACTGGCACGTCCCGATGAAGACAAAGGTAAAGCAGAGGAGGACGAGGGGGCGTCTGAGGAAGATAGCACAACCGCACTGCCACCAGTGAAGTTCAATATGACACATGATCGCCACTTTTTGGCTACAAGTATGTATTTTGCATATGTATGTATGTATGTATGTATGTATGTGTATAAAATAAGAATTTAAGACTTTGCTGTCGGCAAATATTTACATCATTTAAAATTTCGTAAATATTTACTTTAGCGTATTGCTAATGTTTATAATATTTTCGCTTACACTGCTGATGTTTATCTAATTAGTTTTTTTTTCTAAATTTTCTTTCACATTCCTAAAAGTTAATAATTATTCTTTTTTCTTGTAGTGATGCTGGATGTGCATAAAACTCGTTGGCGTCAAAGCGCCGCCGTTCAATTCATTTATAGTTTTCCATTTTTGTCGGAAATCTTTGCAATAATATGGACAGCAATGTGCTTAATATTTCAATCAGGCGTTCAAAAGTATTGGTGAGTGCTTGTACCCTGCAGGAAATGTATCTAACTATAAGCTAACTTTATGTTGATTAAAAAAGAGCTATTAGTTGTATATTTTCTTTGACGAAAGCTAACTATATTTCTATGAGGCAGGGGTGGTTACCTCTGCATTTGATGTAACTAACTACTTTTGGATATAAAATATCAATAGTAAAAACAAAATATTTTATATTTTTTTATTTATTAATTTTTATTTATTTACCTTAATTATTTTATTACATTTCATATTTGCTTACATATTCTGCAGTAGGTAGTCCTATATTGGAATTCCGTCAGACATAACTTCAAAATGATAATATGAAATTTCGATCTGCCTCGTATTTATCCTCAATTCGAAAACTTTTTGTAGAAATCCCACAAAAAAGCTAACTACAAGTAATTTATTTTTGTCGATTGATAATTTTTTTCTACAGGGTAATGTATGCACATACATACAAACTTACATACATATGTTGTTTACATTAGAAAGTTAGTGTTAATGAACTTGCATGGAAAATTGCATATTTACTGCAGACAGTTTTGTGGGTGTAATAGAAATTATGTACTAGAGTCGCGGAGAGACCATGAAGATGAATCAATAAGTCCTTGATTAAATTTTTTAATAAAAGATAATTGATTTCTGTACCTACATAGGTTGGTACATACTTCATCTACGTGTTCTTTTCGAAATGCAAGTTTCTTTCTGAATCCCGTCGCATTTCTTCAAATTCCTTTAAAATGTCGTCGGCTAACCTCATTGCTTCTGCAAGATCTTCATCAGGTGCTTGTAATTTCCGGCTGAGATAATTATTTTTTCTAGAGCTCTAATTATAAAAGGATGCAATTCGATGTATGTTGATACCTCTTCATGGCTTTCAGTCCATCTGGTTGGACATAGAGTTTCCAGTCTCTGCTTCGGCCAGCCGAAAAATATGAGATCGAATCAACACGGTATAGTGAAAGCTCTCGAAAATTTCACTCGTTGGACGGTGCTTCCTCATTTAGTTTTTTATTCTTAATTTAGTGATAGATTTTACAGCCGAAATTACTTCATGTTAAGATAGTTCAAGTTTCAAATACATAATAGCAAGTTACAAATAAACTGCACTATTAAAAATATATTAAGGGGCGAAATTTCCGGGCGTGTTCAGGACATTTTCGGAACTATTTCACATAGGATCATTTTGAGAACAATAATGGACCATTGCGGGCCGTTTCAAGATTTGTTCGAAGTTCACTACTTTTTCGAGCGTTTCGGAGCTTATTCAAGACTATTTAGGAACACTTCTGGACTCATTTAGGAATATTTTGAGACTGGTTAGGTACCATTTCAGGACCGTTTCAAGACTTGTTCAAGATCATTTCGGGACAAGTTCAAGAGTTTGTTTTTCAGAACCACTACTGGGCTATTTCAGAACCGTTTTTGGAATAATTCGCGATCATTTCGGTGAAGTTCGAAATTAGTGATGAAAACAAATCTTAGGCTTTCCTTATACGTACATAAATCAGTTTGAAGTTTCCCCTTGGATTAAACACTTGCCTGTATTTACAGGGGACTTCCGAAACCTTGGCGCATTGTCATACCCTCAATTCTTGTGTTTTCGCTGATGACATTGGGCACACTAATCTACACAATTTTGGCCAGCTCATATCTGAAGAATCTCTGTAATGGATTGCGTGAAAACCTAACAAAGCCCGATGCCATCACGTAAGTGCCTTCAGTTCATATTTACTAATACCTTATTTTGTTAAAACTTTTTTCTTTTGCAACAGCTGTGGTCAGGCCATCTCTGTACTGCGTCCCCTCATACGACAACACGATTTGAAACACGATGTATATTTGAATCTCTTTCGCTTCGCCTACATGTTCGCATTGGTTTTATGGCTGCTGGCGCTATTGCTGATGTTGCTGCGATATTTCTTCGCAATTGACTTCCAACTCATGGATGTGCAATCGTTGTATGACAATAAGTTGGCGCGACGCCTTAGTCGACCGGAACCTGAATTTACAGAAGTACTGTTGGATACGGCGCAATCGCCGACAGTTTTACTGCCACGCAATGAACGCAACAAATCCGAGGATGATTTTCAGAGTGCCAAGTCAAATTTAAGTGAGGTCGCAATGCCGTTACTCGAAACTGGCAAGCAACAACAGCTGGGATTAAGGCCATATGCGCAGTCGCAGCAGCGAGTAGTTTAGTTTGAAAGAGGTTTAATTAAGGAAACGTTAGTGTGGCAGAGCGAAAGCGCAAATATTCATAGTACATAAATAGTGAACAACAAGGTTTTATCTCAGGTATTTTGTTTAGTTGGAATTTGCACAATCGAACCGCGAACGTTTTCATCATTATGAATCTACCTTCTCTCCTACTCACTCCCTCTTATACCGCGGCAAGATATTTTGTTTTATTAAACGTATTTAAAACAAATGATACAACTAGAACAAACTCAAGCAAAAACTATGTACGTGTGTTTGCATTCACTGCTCTTATTTTAAGTAAATATTTATTAATTTTTATATGTATATTTTTTAACATTTTTTTTTTAACCACTGTGTGCGTGTATTACATATTACAGCTGATAACAGTAAAATATGTACATAAATGTGTGTATAAAAAATATTATTCAAATTGTGTGAAATTGTTTGTTATATGGAAGTGGCTTAGTTCAATTTCATGGTAATAGTTTTAGTCTCTAGATAATTATCCAATCCATCTTTACCCAACTCACGTCCGATGCCGGAATGCTTGTAGCCGCCAAAGGGTGTTTGTGGCAGCACTGCGTCATAACAGTTGATCCAAATAGAGCCGGCATCTACGCTGTTGGCATATTTCATTGCCTTGTTGATGTCATTGGTAATAACGCCAGCGGCCAAGCCGTACTCAACGTTGTTGGCACGCTCAATGATCTCATCGAAGCTACTAAATTTGAATATAGACATTACTGGTCCGAAAATCTGTAATTGAATAAAAAAATGGGCTGCGAGATTTTCTTGTCTTGAAATACATATCCGAAAATTAAACAAATAATCTAAAAAATTTAACTTAATTTTTTCGTATCTTGATCCACAATTATTTTGATGATTAAAACGCATTTGCCGTAAGATTAGAACTCCACTCTAAGCCTTGTGAATTTTAATGCTTACACCGCAATATTAAACATAAAGCTGAATAAAGGGCTGATGGCCTGACAAGCCTTTTGTGAGGTTCTATGTCGGCGGTGGACATCGGCCTGCCCGCGGGCAAAGCTCTTTCAACCGTTGTATACATTAAGAAACGTTCCAAACTTTTCACCGTTGCTACTAATACCATTCAATTTAACGGATTAAAAAATCTTACCTCCTCCTGAGCAATTTTCATGTTATCAGTGACATCAGAGAACACCGTCGGCTCGATGAAGTAGCCCACGTTACCGATTCGCTTGCCACCGCATTGAAGCTTGGCACCCTGTTGCTTGCCACTTTCAATATAACCCAAAACTTTATTCAACATTTCTTCATCGATTTGGGGACCCTGCTTTACGGATTCATCGAAAGGATTGCCAACCTTGCGTGCTTTGGCCGCAGCAGTAGCTTTAGCAACAAACTTATCGTAGATCTTCTCATGCACATAGGTGCGACTACCAGCGCAACAACTCTGACCATGATTGGAGAAAAGCGCTTCGTGTGCGATGTCTACCGCCATGTCAACTATGTTTAAAGAAAAAAAAAATATTGTTTCATCTAAAAGAAAAAATCGATCTAATTGTAGCCAACAATAGCTTACCGTCAGCATCTTCAAACACGACAACTGGACTCTTGCCACCCAACTCTAGCGATACGCGCTTCAAATTCGATTTAGCAGCAGACTGCATGATAATCCGGCCAATTTCTACGGAACCAGTAAATGCGACCTTCTGTATATCGCGATGGCTTGAGATCGCCGCACCCGCTGTCGGACCATAGCCGGTGATGATGTTAATAACGCCCGCAGGAAAACCAGCTTCCTTTGTTAAGGCAGCCAAGTGCAATGCAGTAATCGGCGTCTGCTCAGCTGGCTTCATAACAATCGTACAACCAACAGCGAGCGCTGGCCCCCATTTCCAAGCCAACATGAGCAGCGGATAATTCCACGGAATGATTTGACCGACTACACCTACTGGTTCTTTGCGTGTCATTGCCACAAAGCCATCAGCGGGTATGGTATCACCGAAATACTTATCAGTCCAGCCGGCATAGTACTTCAGTGTCATAATAGAGACTTCCACATCGAAGAGGGCCTCTGCATACGGCTTGCCATTGTCTTGCGTTTCAAGGCTGGCCAGCACATTTTTATCGCGGTCCATGAGACTGCAGAGCCTGTAGATGGGCGTGTTGGGTAGAATTGGGTAGAATAAGAAAAAAAAAAATAAAAATACTATATATTAAGAAAAAGATAAGCGCAGAAAAACATACTTGTTGATAAGTTCTGTGCGTTGCAATGGACTCAGTTTGCGCCATTCGGAGTTTCTATGGAATGCTTTTTTTGCAGCAGCCACGGCCAAGTCCACATCAGCCTGCGGGCGATAATACAAAAATAGAAAACGTTGCACTTATAATTTGCATTATTGTTGAATAAAATGATTTATTTATTTAATGACAATTTAGTTATTTAATGACAGAGCTTTATAGCTTCTGCACACTCACCTTATCGCCCTCGGCAACTTCGGCTATCAGCTTACCAGTGGCAGGATTGATAGTTGGAAACTTCTTACCAGACACGGCGTCGACAAACTCATTGTTGATAAATAGCTGTAAGAAATAAACAGTTCAAATAAAGAATAACTTAGTATTTAATATTGTATTTCAATATCAACTGATAACGCAACTTTTGTATGGGCGACGGCCATTGACAGGCCTTGAAATGTTTTCAGTGAAGCGTAAATATTTCTTGCGGGAAGCATCGATCATTAATTTGTATGTACATATGTATGTTTTTGCACATATGAATATATAAAATTACAATAATGAAAATAATGTATGTAAATAAAAAACTTACTTTGTTTGAAGACTATTCACAGTCATAATCTATACATAGTATAAAGGAAAATCGACACGACAAGGGAGTCGACGACGGAGTCGGAAACGTCTAAAAAAAAAGGTTACTCAAAAACGCTCGATGCTCTTGGGTGACCAATGAACTAACCCAAAGAAATTATATTGACCGAATCACCATCAGAGACACACTGCCGAAAC